CTCACGGGTGGAAGTCACATATTTCATAAACCATATTTATGCTACATCAAGAGGAAAATGGGTATGAAATAGAGGAAAAGAACTAATGCAAAACTTAGAAGAAGCTAACTCATCAACTCTTGCAAGGCTTCATTTTTGTATAATTCTTAATCAGGTCACAGGTATTGGAATTGGGAAGAGGGAGACCCATAGACCCATCTATGTCATCTGCATGTGACATTCAGTTGCAGTGTATTTCTGGAATGAGAAAAAAAATTATTTTGAAGGGAAATAGGAAGAGAGATATAATTATCAAGTAACTTTAGTTTGCAAGATAGCTTGCGTCATACAATGCATTGTTACCGTGAAAAATTCATTATTGTTGGGGGTTAAGAATAAATACCTGGTCCTTTTAACCTGGGCAAGGAGAATGGTTTAATGTATAGATTTACAAAATACAGGGTTTTCATAAACCATGCTGAATTAGTTCTTCCTTAATTTCCATTTCCGCTGTGTTCAGTGTTGATGTTTCTTAACTATCTCACATGAGAATTATATTTGCTTTGTATTCAAAGTATGTTTAAAATAAGCTTCTACCAAGAATTAAATGGAATGTAATTTCACAAAATCTCAATTCTGATTTTTTCTAAAAGTGACAAAGCTAGCCATCTTTGAAATAGATGCTGATGACACTATGAAATGAACCTAGAAGTGATAATAATTAGTATTTAATATATTTACATGTTCACATTTCTTTTTAAGAACTGATGTGCTATTTTAAAATCCTTATTATGTCTATAATATTTTATGTATTTGTCAATGTTACTTTAAGATATAGAAATAACGTAGTAAATAAGAATAGGGTTGATCTTAAAGTTAACCTCCCTTTAAAGTAGCTTATAGTACATTGGAAATTCAGACTTAGCACAAGGTCTGATGTGCAGTTGACTGCTCAATATATTTTTAAAAAATGAATGAAAAGAAATAATAATATAATTTTTCGGACAACTGACATTTCCTAAATGAGAGATATTTGAAAATTCGAAGAATAAATAATTGAGCACAAATTATAAAATTTTATCCAGTTGGGGAAATATCGCAAAGTGGTAAGTAAATGTTCAAATTGAAAGAAGTTAATAAATGAGAGAGCTTATGATTTGCACTTCAGATCAACAGGTAATTGAAAGATTTTTACATAGGCTAATATACAAGTTCCTTTTATTGTGTTACCACTGGCAAGCCTAAGGAGTATTTCTAAAGGAACTGAGAAGTGTCTTAGGTCTGTTGTGTTACGTTTCATTTATTATGATTTCCCTTTTACCTGCTCTATTCCACCTCAAAAAACCTGAGTTATATATACCTAATTTTACTTTTTGCCAAGAAATCCTATTCTTGCAGAATTATTCCCAATACATGAACCTTGAGAAAAATATTTTGCTTTGCCTTTGTAAAAAGGAACTATGGTGATAGGGAATTTGCATCTTTACAGAAGGTGCTACATGTACATTAGCATCTTTCATAGGAATTGTATTCAGAGGAGGAAAATAGAAAAAGAGGAAAAAAATTGAAAAAAGGCAAAAAAGGAAAGAAAATGAACATAGAAAATCTGAGACACATAGACAGACATCCAAAAATATCAGTAATCACAACAATGGACTGATTCTTCAAGTTAAAAGACAGTAATTGTCAAACTGGATTTATTTACATATAAATATATACATACATTTCTTTTTATGAGACATATAAAACAAAATGATACAGAAAGGTTAGAAGTAAAGGATGGGTATTGATTTTCTTGCAATATATAACCAAAAGAAAGCCACAACAGTTATATTAATTCCAGACAAAATAGTCTATAGGGCAAAAGGCATTCTTAGAAAGATAAAGAGGGCCACTACCTAATAAAGATTCTATTCACCAGGAAAAGAAAAGAATTCTAAGCTTGTATGCACACAGTAACATAGCCTTAAAATATATGAAGCAAAAATGACCAAATTACAAACAAAAATAGCAAATCCACCTAATAGTGGGAAAATTTAACAGATCTCTCTCGGTAATCAATAGTTTAAACAGACAAAAAATAATAAGGATATAGAACTTCTAAAGAACATGAGCTTGATGTACTGGACATATTTATAATACTATACCAAACAGCTGCAGAAAAAATTCTATACGAGGACACATAGAAGATTTATGAAAATTGATGAACCAAAAGCACGTCTCAATCTTTCCAACTCAAAGAATTGGCATCACTATGGATAGCCTCCTCTGATCATAGTGAAAATAAGTCAGACATTAAAAAGAAGGAAGAAAACCCCCCCCAAAACTGCCATGTATTTGGAATTTAAGAAATACACATCAAACAATTCGTGAGACAAGGAAGCAATCATAATGGAAATTGGAAAGTATTTAGAATTAAGTGACAATGAAAAAAATGCATATCAAAACTGGTGGGACATGACTAAAATAATACTTAGAAATGTATCTTTTAAATATAAGAAACTCAAAGAATAAAGGTAACAGCAGAACCTAATGAGATAGGAAATAAATATGCACAAGGCCAATAATGTCAAAAAGTGATTCCCAGAGGAGAAAGAGATATATCCCTCTATTTATTTGGGTCTTTAATTTTTTTCAACTGTGTTTAATTGTTTTCGGTTCTCGGGGAAAGGATAATCTTTTCAACAGTTAGCACTAGAAAAAAATAAACTTTGACCCTTTGCCTCACACCATATACAAAAATTAACTTGAAGTAGATCATAGACCTAAATATAAGAACTAACCTATAAAAAACATCAAGAAGAAAACATAGGTAAAAATCTTAGCAACCTTGAGTATGGCAGAGATTTATTTGTTCAATATGACACAAAAAGCGTGAAGTACAAAAAGTAGTCCACAAACTGAACTTCATCAAAATATAAAATCTTTTGCTCTTCAGAAGATACTGTTTCAAAACGAAAAAGGGAAGCAACAGATTGGGAGAAGACATTTGCAAAACATGTATTTGACAAAGGGCTTATATCTAACATACATAAAAGGACTCTTAACAACTTAAGAAGACAGCCCAAATTAAAGTGTGGAAGAGCTGGACACTTGATCCAAGAAGTTATAGAGATGGCAAATAAGCTCATGACAAGATGCTCAATATCAGTAGTTTTTAGGGAAGTGCAAATTAAAACTACAGTGAGATAATACTGCACACCCAGTAATGGCTAAAATTAAAAAGACCGACCATACCAAGTATTGGTGAGAATGTGGAACAACCAGAAATCTCATACACTGTTGGTGAAAATGCAAAATGGTATTAACCACTTTGGAAAACTGTTTCTGAAAAGTTAATTATATACCTGTCATATAGGTCAGCTCTTTCACTCTTTGGTATTTGCCCAAAACAAATAAAGTTATATATCCACACAAAACCTTGTACCTGAATGTTCATAGCAACTTTACTTGTAATCGTTCAAAACTAGAAATAACCCAAATATCCACCAAGGGGTAAAATAGATAAACTCTCATTCAGTGGATTTCTGCTTGACAGTAAAAAGGAACACAATAGCATGGATGAATCTTGAGATAGTCATGCACAGTGAAAGAAGTCAGGCCTTCTCCCCCCAAAACAGAGGACATTACGATATGATTCCATTTATATAAAATTCTAGAAAATGAATTTAATTTATAGTGACAGAGAAAAGATAGTGGTTGGCAATAGGGTGGAGGGGCATCTCATACATAAACGTCTGTTTCATGCTGAGTAAAGACTTATGTGTGAAAGATAAAGCCATAAAACTTTGAGAAGGCAATCTAGAACATCATTATGATCTCAGGATATAGAAGAATTTAAGACACAAAAAAGCACAAAAAGAAAAAAATCAGTAATGTTCAAATTTAAAATTATTTTTTAAAAAGCACAGTGAAAAGAAGTAGAAAAAAAATATTTATGGCACATACAGTTGACAATTTGTATCTCTGTTAGAACTCCCATGACTCAATAAAAAAAGACAACCCAATAGAAAAATGGGCCGAAGATATGAACGAGGCATATTACATTAAGAGGAACCCCATGTTGCCACTAAACATTGTTCTTCAAGGAATTGTGAATTATAGCAAAAACCAGAGCCAATTTCATATTCCCTAACTCCCACTGATAAAAGTTGAGTCTAGCTATACCAAGGGTAGGCAAAGATATGAAGCAACCAAATGTTTACCTGCTTCTAGAGATTAAATTGGTACAAATATGTTGGAAAACTATTTAACATTTTCTACTAAAGTTAAAGATGCGCCAACTCTAAGGCCCAAGAAATTCCACTTGTAAGTATATACATCAGAGAAGCTTGTGCGTTGTGTACCAAGAGATTTGCACAAGAGTGTTTATAGCCGCACTGTGATAGTAGAAAACTGGAGGCAGTCCAAATTTCAACAGCCTTAGAATAGATAAATTGTGGTGTGGCTCTACGATAGAATACTATATAACAGTGAAAAGGAACGACTAACAGCAGCAAGAAAGAATCTTAGGAATAAAATCTAAGCAAAAAAAGCAAGTTGTAGAAATATACATACAATGTGTTACACGTGTAGGGATACAAATACATGTTGTAAAACTATAAAGAAAAGCAAGGGGATGATGAGCACAAAATTCCAGAAATGATTAAAGGAGCAAAGAAATGGGGGGAGTTAACACCTCTGACGCACTGAGGACTTCGAAACAATAGTAACGTTCTTGTTCTATAGGTGGGCATGTTTGTATCATTTTTTACACCTTACATTTATTTTATGACCTTTGAATCTATACAATATTTAATAATCATATTTAAAATAAGTGCAAATTACAGAATTTAGCATGTGAATAGCAGCATACCTGTTCTTGTATACGTGCAAGAAAAATACGCTTTCTTGGAGAAAAGGTAACTCCATTGTCTAGTAAGTACTAACGCATTACTTAAGAATAATGATTTGAATTTCCTTTTGTTAAAGGTTTTTCTTTTTTTCCCTTTCTCTCTGCCCTGCTGTTCCTCAATTTGTAGGAGAGATTTGAAGCACTTTTTACCATCTATGATGACCAAGTTACATTTCAGTTGTTTAAAAGCTTTAGAAGAGTCAGAATAAATTTTAGCAAACCTGAAGCAGCAGCAAGAGCTCGAATAGAACTACATGAAACAGACTTCAACGGGAAGAAACTGAAGCTGTATTTTGCACAGGTACTTCATTGTACAGAAGACACTGTTCTCTAAACTGGTTTTTCCCCGTCCGAAAATATTTTCACCTATACAGGCCAGCTGCCAAAAAAAAAAAAAAAAAAAAATTCATTTCTTCCCTTTCAATATCAGAGGTTTTTGAAATGTACAATCCCAATCAGTGAATAATATAAAAATATTTTTCCTTTATTTTACAGAAATATAATTTTAATATAAGCATATTTACACCCCTAATTTTGTTTTGCTGAGACTAATAGTTAAAGGAATTCATTTTTCTGGCAGCTTTGCTCTTTTGGGGGTCTGTGAGGGTTAAGCCCCAGCACTCTAAGGTTAGTGAATTAACTTTCTCCTTTGCATCTAGAATGGCTCTCATGAAATAACATCCTTGGGGGAATTAAGAAAATAGTCCCTCAAATCATTTTCTGTGTTCTGCAGTTCATATGAGGAATCCCTATGGAGAAAGACTGCGGTCCGTGGGATGGCCAGGGAGGGGGCACAGAGCTATACAAAAAAGCTGTCCTAGACTTTGAAATTGCAAACGATCCTGTGGGCTACCAAGCACTGGCTCTATTATTCCAATCCTACATTGGGTGGCTTTGCTCTTTTGGGGGTCTGTGAGGGTTAAGCCCCAGCACTCTAAGGTTAGTGAATTAACTTCTCTCCTTTGCATCTAGAATGGCTCTCATGAAATAACATCCTTGGGAGAATTAAGAAAATAGTCCCTCAAATCATTTTCTGTGTTCTGCAGTTCATATGAGGAATCCCCATGGAGAAAGACTGCGGTCCGTGGGATGGCCAGGGAGGGGGCACAGAGCTATACAAAAAAGCTGTCCTAGACTTTGAAATTGCAAATGATCCTGTGGGCTACCAAGCACTGGCTCTATTATTCCAATCCTACATTGGGTGGCTAGAAATTAATGCCCTGCTAGTTCAGACTAGTTGTCCACCCAAGGCAGCGTTATGTCTCTTGCGTGGGACACAAAAGGCCTTTTGAGGAGAAGTAGCTTAGTATTGTTTTTAAACATGAGAGCTGCATCTTAGGTGTCCGAGGTCCTATAATACAGAGATTGCCAGTGCTGCCTAGAACCCGACAAGTGTCTCCCAAAGGAAAACCAAAACCATTAGGAAGTTAAACAGATTCACTCATATTAGTCATAGAACAGTAATTTGCATTTACGTTTTAACTCCCAAGACCTCAGTAGAGACGTCACCAGGTTTTACAAGAGCCTTACAGTATCAGATCTCTAACACCAAAACCAGATAGAGTTCTCTGACATAGGCTTTAAAGATTTAAGAAAACAAGTAACCAGCCATTAAAATAGGAGGAGAACAAGAAATGACAAGAGACAAAACTGTTCTTTTTGCTGGAAGTTCTCGTGTTGTCTGCCCGCACAGGAGAGAAATACGAGCTTCATGCAGGAACTGAGTCAACCCCGAGCGTGGTGGTTCACGTCTGCGAAAGCGAAACGGAGGAGGAAGAAGAAACCAAAAGCCCCAAACAGAAAATTACCCAGACACGGCGCCCCGAGCCTCCTACCGCGGCCCTGAGTGAGCCTCAGACCTTCGACTGTGCGCTGTGAGGCCTTGGGTTGTGGCCAGGTCCCAGTTACATGCCCCCATGGCAGGTGCGTGGCTGCTCATAGCGTAGGGGAGACTGAGGCAGGGGGCGCGGTGTCTTCTCACCATGCCTGTACTGCAGACGTGCTAGTGTGGAGTAGCAGCTGATTTCACCTGTTCAGAAGTTTAAGTGAGATTCCAAACAGCACTTTAAATGAAGGGAGTAGTCCCCAAGATGTGGCAACTCTTGACCATTTTAAACAGAAGTAAGTAAGGAAAATGGCTTCCTCCCCCCCGCCCCAGCAATGTTAGTTCCCCTATTTTCTTTCTGTATAGCATGGGGTACCAAATACTGGAACTATAGTCACCCAGTGCAGTACCATTTTTATGAATTTAAAATTGGTCTTAAAATTTTAATAATCTAGTGTGGGTATTTTTGTACTTGTGTAATAGCTTCTAACATATTGATCAAAAGTTAGTTGTTACTCAGTATATATGAAATTTTTTGCATGAAAAGAAACCTAAAATACAGAAGGATTAATAGAAATCATTTTTCCCAAGTATTTTTCCATTAGCTTTGGGAAAGAAATGCCAAATCCACTGGCACCAATGTGCATGTTTGTCCCTGTGGCTCTTACTTGGAAGTCGGGGGAGAGTGAGGCACAGACCACTGGTCCTGATGCGTCAGCCCTGCAGAGGTGGGCTGCCCAGAGTGAGCTGCTGCTTTGGAAGTGGGACATATCACCAGGAAGCTTCGCTGATTATGATTTCAGGGGTCTCCTGCATTCTGCCACTTGTGACCATGTTTTTGCCTGTAGAGGACCAAACTGTCTTCACGCACCAGTTGTTTATCCCATTTCCTGTTTCAATATTGTGTTAACCATTAGTTCTTGTGTTTTTCTATGCTGTGTGTATGTTTGTGGATGTCAGTCATAGATGCTCAGTTAGAAAGATAATAAGATTTTCTGAGGACCATTTTAAAAATGTCCATTTAAACATTTTTCTGCTTGCTTTGAAAGAAAAATCACACATAGTATTTTGCTATGCATTTAGAAACGAGGGGGGAAGTCATTTAGTCATACTTTTTTTTTTTTTTGGATGAAATTTTTGACCTTGGCTTGCAGTTGGCATTTTTCCCTAAAACAGAATTGTTTCTCACTTATGTTTTAGAATGTATATTCAAACCCCCTACAGTAGAAGCACCGTCTTTTTAACTCTTGGTGGTCTATTCAGACTTTGAAGTCCCTTTAATAGAAGTCTCATAGCTAAGAATTCTTTTGCTTTTGATTCTCTTCTCATTATGCTATTTTCTTTGGGTGGCAAATGTCCAGAACTCCCTGGCATGTATGTTAAGGGTTTGCATATATGAGTTAGAACTGATAAACTAATGTGGCTGCCACTGCAAAGAAAATGCAGAAATTCAAGCCATGATGTCAGTACATTTAACGTGTTATTGTGGTTGAGTTCTTATTGTGATAGCATTTATTTCTGAGGGCTTATATTGCACAAAAAAATTATATTTTCCTTGCACTCAAATACTCTGAGGTGATAAACTCTTCTATTTATATATATCCACTATTGTAAGCCACAGTGTAAATTGAGTTGAAATTTGCAATCCCATAAGCAATTAACTTAGTTCAGATCATCATTTGTCAGTTTAACTGGCCACTTAAATACATTTACTTTGCAGTTCTGCACTCAGCATTTTGCTCATTTTGATTGCAGGACAGACCCCATTTTCTATGTCAGAAAATGTATGTATTTTCAATAATTGGGAATTTTTTGAATTTCCTTGTAGGTAATATTTACTCGCTATAATTTTCTAAGTGATATAAGCCCATGATGTTTTGTTATTTGGCTTGGCTTTCATTCTCTACCTACCAATTAAAAAATACCCTATTCATAACACGTAAAACTTTAAAAAAAAAAGTCAGCCAATGCAAATTACCCGGTGTTTTTTCTATTCTTTTTTTGGTGGGGAGCGGGGGCGGTGCAGAGTATTGAAAACTTTGAACCTAAATTTTATTTATATATATATACACTTATGTGTGTCTGTACATATATACATTTATATGTGTGTGTGTGTGTATAGATACATACACATATATATGAATGTCTGTAGAGAGTCATTTATACTTTTCTGATTGAAGAACATTAATATTTTCATTTTTCCTAGTACATTGTTTTCATAAGGTAAATTCTAAAAGAAAAACTAGTAAATGCCCATCAACTTTTAATATTGTGAAATCAGCAAGGATCTCAACCAGTAATATGGTCTCTGTCCTTTTGTGGCTATTTTATATCCAGTTCATGTAACCATTTTACAAGAGATGAGTCTCATGTATCTTTTTAAAGTTCTTTTAATAAATTTACCTGCATTTTTTAATTCTTTGAAATCGAGTAACTACTTAGATTTAACTCTTTTAGTATAGTAGCCATGTTTTTTTAGAAATCATAACCTCTTCATGGGAACCAAATTACGTAGAAAACTGAGGAAAGATGGTGTTGCTTCGTGTCATGGGAAGACATGTGAAGGATATGAAGACCGAATTACTTAACAAAGATTGTAGATTCTTTAAACATACCCACCTGATAAAGCCAGAGATAAATTAAAAAGTGTAGTAGGGAGCCTCTACTAGGTTTAAGGTGCTAAGAGGCAGAAATAGGCAGGAACAGTTTCCTTGCCTTTGGAGAGCTGAAAAACAGGTACACAGCACACTATGCTTTTCACATTCTGCTTCTTCAGAATTTACATGAAACCTGTCAGTAATTAAGAGCCAAATCAAAGTTACAAGGAACTTTTAAGCTCAACATAAAGGTTTAAATAGAACATCGCAGTCGTCCATGGGATGTTTGAATTGAAGAGATACCAGGAGATAAAGGTCAGGTCCAGTACTTCCATTTTTTTAAGAATACGGTCTTTGTTTCCCATTCCCATTAATTCCATCTTTTAAAACTGTCATGATTATAAAATAAAAATATTTGGTTTTCTTAGAATGTCAGTTACAGAGCTGAAGGTCACTTTGGAAATCATACAATCTAATCCTTGTGTTACACAGATGAGAAAACTGAGGTTATGGGCCTTGCTTAGGAGACCACAGCGAGGCAGCCCAGGGACTAGAACTGGCATTCCCAACTCGCCGGCCGGTGCTTTTTCTACTTTTTCTTGCATTGGCCTCTTAAAGAGGCAGTGAATAGTAATACCTATCATAAGAAAAAAAGTGGGCTGGGGAAGGAATTCTTTTTCCTCTGATGGGATACAGTGAATGAGAAATGAATAGGAAAAATCTTATCTGATGAGAAAGGTGACTTAGTAATTTTAGTTAATAAATTTGATGTTCCATGTTTTGTGTTTTTGTTTTCCTTGAACCATTGGGTTGGAATCCACTTAAATAATGTTACCTTGGTAGCCAGCAATTATGTTGGCATTTTATATGGGCTTTTCTAGATTTTCATGTTAATGAAATTAAAATACATATAAATAGTCGTACTTAACGATGCGACTCTAATGAAGCGGAATGAGATCTAATATGATTTGGAAATGGAACATTTTGCAGGAGAATGACACTCTCAGTGCTTGTAAAATTGAGTCCTATTCAAAATCAAAGACTGACCTGTGCGTCATGTTTTTATGCAGACTCTTACAGACCATGGATTTATTTTGAAGGAAAAATCCCAAACATAATTAATAGAAAATGTACTAAATTATGTGGTGTGTCAGGTTCACTGTCCACTGGATTTCTCTCTTTTCTCCAGAGTTGTGAGAAAATACCTATCGTACAGGTGAACTTGGTCCATCTTTCCTTCTTCCTCTCCATGTGCTTCTCTTTTGCACACTTGCATTTACATTTTCCTGTATTAAAGGAAGCAAATTACTTACAGTATGACAGTATAAAGGAACAAAAGAGTTGGGGAAATAGTTGCCTCCTAGCTGGGGCTGTAAGTCAATGTTATAGAAACACACTCTCTTAAAAGTTAAATAAATTTAAAGAATAAGATTTATGAACCTTGTCCAACAATTTGATAAATACTCATTTGTTTTTTTAAACTCCCCTTGGAGTGTAGGTCATCCAGAACATCATCATCAGAATGCCATTGTTTTCTTTAATTATGAATCAGGGGAAAATGTGAATAATTTGGAGAGTGTCATTATTATCAGATGTACAAGCAACAAGGCAACTGAAAGCAACAACAACCACTAGGTTCACTAAACCCAAAAGATTACAAAAATTGTCATATTCAAAGTAAAGTTTCTGGCCAAAGTTAAGAAGAACTAGCCTTGGACTGGGTCAAAATGTCTCTCTCCATTTCAATAAAAGTTTAAAGACCTTTTACCAAATTAGACATATGTTCTATCTGACAAACCTACATTTCCTTTTGAAACAAAATCGTATCCTGTAAACTCTTGGAACTCCTGCCTGGCTTTGACTGAATTGTTCATTCTTGTTGTCATGGATGACTTATATCCATGCAGAGAACGTGTGTTTTGCTGTATTGTTTTCAATCTAGCACTCAGTCTTTCTAACTCCCACTGGGGACTGAAGAGAGAGAAAGGTGGCTAATCCCATAAGTGTGCCATATCCTCCCACCGCTTCTCAATCCGAAGTGAGCATTGATTTACGTTATTGTGCATACCCTCCACGTTTGAGAAAACTTTCATTTCACGTAGATCTTAATTGTACCCAGGAGTTAGATTTATTATTTTATGTGAACATGTTTGTGATCCTCTGTTACATTTTGGGGCACGTTACCTTTCTGGTACTATAAGCTGTAGTGAATACTCACTGTACGTCTAAAACAACTGGTCAGTAATTCATGTACAGTAGTCCATGTTTTAGTGTGCTTGAAGTGACAATCCACAGTTTGTAGTAGTTTGTTAATTGTCTACTTTAACTCTCCTGTGTTTTGAGGACATTTAAATATTCCTTGTCCTACCAAGGTGACAAAAGCAGAATGTAATGTGATTACTTGTTATAAGTTTTGTTTTTAAAACCAATAAAAATAAAGTTAGTTTTTTTTTAATCAGGCCATTGAATTGAGTTCTTTGTGTGTAGTATTTTCAGTATGTATTATTTACATTTAAGTAATAACAAAAAAGAAGAGTGAAGTATTATATTTGCTCCTTTAACAAGAGTCCTGTTGAACATTAATGCTGTGCCGTGCCAGAGTTCAAGGTGGTCAGTCACTGCCAGCTTTGTAAATAGCCACTACAGTTCCTCACCAAGAATGGTCTTTACCCTGGTCTACTCCTCAGTTAAAAATGATTTATTCCTGGTAAGGGCTTATTTTCTGTCTTGGTTAAAAGAAAAAAAAAAATCTCCAAATCAAAATATTTAAACTGGAAATGACTGTAAAGGTTATCTAGTGCAGTGGGTGTTTTAATACTCATTTTTAAGGCATAGAACTCTGCTGCCTTTGCTCAAATGAAACTTTACATAAAGCCCAGTGTAAAACTTAATACAAAAAAAGAAAAAAAAAAAGGTAAACAGAGCTGCTCTGTTTGAAGGGGATGGGGGAGGAGTGCGGACCCAATGTTCCAACCCCTGAACAATAGTTCAGAACACACTGATCCCTTTCAGCTGCCCCCACACCTTCCTCCACCCCCAACACACCTTTACAAGAAAATGGCCTGATGAGGCGTTGCCAAATTCACACATCTGATGGTAGCCCACCTGGGACTAGAATTCAGGTTTCTTGCCACTGCCCCAGGTTCTTTCTACCACACTCCACTACTCTGTTAAACTGAAGTCTTTAATTTTTTTGGAGAAAATGCATTAGGATTCAAAGATTCTTGATACTGTTTTGTTTTTAGTGAAACTGAAGCAGAATAGCTGGGGACACTATCACTTTAACTGGTGCTTGCCAAGCCGTGTTCTGTGGGGCTGCCTCCAGGTGGAGCTGGGCACCCAGATTCCCAGGGACTTGCATTCCAGCTACCACTCTTTGTTGTACAGAGTGGACTTAGCATCACACCTCACTTGAGCTAAGATTCCTTGACTAAAATAGCAAGTTGGAAAACCACTGCAAATAACCTAAGGAAAAAAAGTTTTTTAATGCAGAATAGAAAATACAAGAATAATAATTTAAGTAATTTACCTCATAAAGATAGACTGACTTAAAAGTTAAATTCAACAATGTATGAGAGTCCTGTTACCACAAGAAACATGTTAAAATAGATAGTGGGAGAGAGCAATTACTATATTCTGGCTTTCAGTGAACATATCAAAATGATTCTAATCTAGAAGGAGAAAAGATTAAAATCTTACACATGTAGGAAAGATCTCAACTCTTGACAAGCTTCCCCTGGCCTTCTGAGACAGAAGGTGTAAAATATAAGTGGTTTGCAGAATAGATATTTATGTAGGGTGTTTCAAAGTATATTATCTGGGAAAAGTTTGTGGTCTAAGATGTTGGGAAAAGCTAACCAGTTTTTGTATTGCGATGCTTCTGAGGAACTTTTAAATGTGCACATTCTATCTCTAGGAGGATATACCATGATTCTCAAATGTAATAAACTACGGGTCCCTGTTGCCTAGGAGCATCTCATTGCATTGGTGTTTGAGAAAACATTTGATTAAAATCTTGACTTGGAGTCTGATTAAAGAATAGATTTGTAAACTTAAATTCCTTTATTAATTTCTCTAAGCAAGAGTATTGTTAGATTAGGGCATCAGAAGGAGGCTTTCTGGTTTGAATGAACGGGAAAACCAAGTTAATCAAACTATTAGAATCTGTAAGAAAGTTCAGCAAAGTGGCCTGAAACTAGCGTAGCTTAGAAAAATCAATAGCATTTTCTTACACCATCAGTGACCAAAGCGTAGCCAAACTCTGATAAGGACATAGATAATTAAGTACATGTAGAGTCCATACTCTTGAATAGGATAACAATATTTTAGGAACGTCAAATTTTCTTCAAATCTATAAATTCAATGAAAGCTCTCAAAATTACAGTTTAAATGTATTCTAAAACTTTTATGGAAAAATAAAACACAAGTAGTTAAGACAACTTTATAAAAGAAAAGTGATAGAAGACTTACCCTACCAAATATTAAGACAACCCACAAAGTCACGTGAGGTTGGTGCAAGAACAGGAAAACTAAAAAAGAATAGAGATCAACCCATGTCTATGAGAATTTAATATACAATAAAGTGTCATCATAAATAAATGGAAAAAGGCCAGCCTGTCTAATAGATGGTGTTGGGAAAACTAGCTTAGCATGTGTAGGTAAATAAAAACTGGTTCTCCATCAAATACCACATACAAAGGTAGACTCCAGATGGATCAAAGACCTGAATATAGAATATAAAACTATAAAGTTAATAGAAGAAATTGTAGGAGAATATTATTGTGACCTAGAGGCAGAGGAAGACTTCATAAAACTTTAAAAGCATAAGCTATAAGGTAAAAAATATAATTTGGGCCAGCCCGGTGGCGCACTGCTACAGTGCGCCGCTTGGGAGCGCGGCGATGCTCCCGCCGAGGGTTCGGATCCCACATACAGACCGGCCGCTCACTGGCTGAGCGAGGTGCGGGAGCAACACCGAGGGTTGCGATCCCGTTGCCGGTCCCGGTCCGGTACGGGCGCGACACTGAGGGTTGCGATCCATTGCCGGTCACGAAAAAAGACAAAAAGGAAAAAAAATATATATATATATAATTTGGTTACATCAAAATTAATGAAAAATTTCATGGACAATGTTGGCAGACAATAGGGAGATATTTGCAGTCCTAACATGGGTAAATAACTGTAATGTGAAAGGAGATTTTGCAAATCAACAAGGAAAAGCAGCCCAAGAGAAGAGTGGGCTAAAGGATATGAAGAGCAATTGGAGAAAAGGAGAAAATGGGCCTCTGAAGAGACACTCAAACCCAGTCTTCAGATAGGAGCAAATTAAAACAAGATGCCATTTTACATCTATCAGATTCTCAAAAATGTAAAGAGCGGGGCTGGCCAGTCAGCTCAGTTGGTTGGAGGGTGGTGTTATAACACCAAGGTCAAGGGATCCTCTACCAGCCAGCTGCCAAAAAAAAAAAAGCAAATAATGCCAGAGGGTGGGGATGGAGGAAACCTGATGTACTGCTGGTGGAAGTGCAGACTAGGTTGGTCATTCTGACGAACAATCTGGTAGCACTTAGTCATATAAACAAAATGTAAAGAACAAGATCTCTGCAGTGCTGCTCCCAGAGATAGAGCTAGGGATAGATACAGATATAGATAGATATAAATATATTATCTCCCCAGAATATCCCAGAGATTCTCATACAGTTCCAAAAGGAAACATGCTGAGCATGTTCATTGCACCATTTATTTATGGAGGCAAGCTGCATCCGCAACTGGGAAATGAACACGATGGAAAACCGTGCAGCAAAAGAGTAGCCATGTACACAGCCATGTGGCTGGGTCCTGAAAACAGAGCTGAGTGATGAAAGTAAGAATCAGTGAAATGTCTATAACATTTGCATCATGTAAACACAAAGACAGTAATGCATGGTGAAAGAATACGTACAAATAAAGAGATACTATTAAACACATGACGGATTTTCAAAAAGTTTGTGGAAATATTTGTTTTATCTTTTAATTCCATTTTTCCCTGAACTTTTTAAAGTATGTATGTACATACATACATACATACATACAAGGCATCTCGCATGGGTCAATGATGATAATGTGCCCTGAACTGAGAAGTCTGATTTACTCTTAGGCTTTATGTAACCTTTCTGTAAAAAACTACTAGTATCTCTGTCTCTTTCCTACCTTGATTCTACATTAAGGTTAGTTAAAAATTGCATGTTATTTTTCTCTATTATTGCTCTAGAAGAAAATATTTTACTGTGATACGTTTAGGTGAAATCCAGATTTTATTGGAGATGTTCATGCCTTTTATTTTAGGATAAGTATTTCAGAAAAATACCAGGTACTGCCTATTCTATAGCTAGATGTGTATATATAAATGTTTTTTCCAAGTAAGGTTACATAGACTCTTTTGTTAAATTTACTCCCGTATGGATGGAAATAATACGCCACACCATTCACTGCACTCTGAGCTGCAAATGAATAAGCATTGCATGTGGTTTGACTCTGGATTCACCATTTCCTTTTGGTTCAAAGAAGTAATCAAGTTAATTCTTGGCCTGGTGTTGTCTTCCTTCAATGTCTTTTGAATAATTGAGATCTTTAGTGGGAAATTAGACAATCTTCTGTCTTGGGAGATTTGACCAAGCCCTTTCCCCCAAAGGAGGAAATTAGACCAAACGTGATTTCTCCGAGGTTGTCTGAGTGAGCCCCGTGAATAAAAGGTCTTTTATGGGCCTAATTTACTAGTCTTTCATGACTTATTTCCTTGATAACTTTAGTCATTTCCCAGGCTATTTATTCTATCCCATTAGAAATTTCTAACTGTTGGAAAGTCTAGAATAGAGATTTGTCTCTTTTGTAAATGAAAACAGCCTTTGGGTACCAAGTGATTTACCAGTGCATCCTGCCAATTCAAGATATGCCAGTGAGTTCCATTGTGCAAGGACCCTAGCTGCCCTCTTACTCATATCTGGTCTCTAGTTTCCCATAACCATCTATGTAAGCATAGAACAACCTTAAAATGTGTTTTCCTGGAGACAGGCTTACTAATTGTTCATGCTGGAGAAAAAGGAGAAAATTAAACTGCACGATTAATGTAAACCCATTAAGGGTTGTATTAGTTATGTATTGCTGCATGCCAAATTGCCCCCAAATGTAGCGGCTTAAAGCAATAAAACATCCATTGTTTCCCAGTTTCTGAAAGTCAGGAATCTGAGAATGGGTTAGCTGAATGGCAATGGCTCAGGGTCTCTCAGAAGGTTGCCATCAAGGAGTCAGCGAGGGCCACCGTCATCCAAAGTGGCTGGAGATGCTCTTTTAAGCTCACCCACAAAGCTGTGGGCAGGCAGCTTCAGTCCCTTACCACATGGGTCTCTCCATGAGCCTGCCTATAGGACATGGAAGCTGGACTCCCCAGAGCAAGTGATCAGAGAGAGTCTTCACAACCTAA